TGAGTTGGTTAATGATTCCATTGACCTCAAGCTTATATCAGTTAAATATGATTTTTTTGATTCTGCAGTTAAGATGGTTAGGGTTTTAGGTAAGGGAGCAATGTTAGCAAAGTGTGACATAAAATCAGCCTTCAGGTTGGTCCCTGTACACCCTGATGACATTGACCTCTTAGGTTTTCAGTTTGAAGGAAAGTTTTATTTTGATAAAGCCATGCCAATGGGATGCTCAATTTCTTGTTAAGCCTTTGAGATGTTTAGCACCTTTCTTCATTGGTGTGCAGTTAAGAAGTCAGGTAATACTGCAATCACACATTATTTGGATGACTTCCTGTTTGCTGGAAATCCAAATTCGTCAAAATGCAGTGACACTTTAGCTGCCTTTCAGGGTTTAATGGCTGAACTGGAAGTCCCTTTAGCTGAAGAGAAAACAGAGGGTTCTGACACACGGCTTACATTTTTGCGAATCGAGATGGACACCATTGCCGGCATTTCTTGTTTACCAAACAACAAGCTCATGGCTATGAGAGAACAGGTTAGATTGGTGATGGGGAAGCAAAAAGCTGCACTTCATGATTTTCAATCCCTAACAGGTTTGTTAAATATTGCTTGTAAGGTAATAGTTCCGGGACAAGCATTCTGCACACGATTATATAGGGCCACCAAAGGGGTATCAGCCCCACATCATCATATAAGGATCACCAAGGGAATTCATGAGGACTTGAAGGTTTGGGAGTCCTTCTTGGAACATTTCAATGGTACTTCATTCTGGAGATCTGAAATGCTGTTTGGGTATTTTTTTAGGTACACTCTGATGCTGCTGGTGCCCACGGCTTTGGAGTTTATTGGAATGGTCAGTGGGCTGTGGAGGCATGGCCCCCTGCTTGGACAGAGTGAGGTCTGACTAGAGACCTGACATTTTTGGAACTTTTTCCTATAGTTGTGGCAGTGCACCTATGGGCATATCAATTTGTGAATAAGACTATCTGGTTTTGATGTGACAACCAGGAAGTTGTTCAAGTGGTAAATACACAATCCTCCAAGTCTTCTAGGGTGATGTGCTTGGTGAGGGCTATGGTGACACAGTGTTTGAAGTTTAATATCTTGTTCCAAGCTCACCATGTGCCTGGTTTGCTTAACCCTTTGGTAGATGCCCTTTCTCATTTCCAGTTCTACAGGTTCCAGCAGCTGTCTCCCAAGGCATCGACACACACACTGGAGGTACCAGCATTTCTATGGAGCCTTGGAGACTAGAAATCAACAGGGTGATCCTACATTCTATCGTTCCATCTACACGTAAGTCCTATCAGACAGCTCTGAATGCATTTAGACCATTTTTGATGCAAATTGGGGAGGGGGAGGTCTGGCCTATTAAGGTGGACCTTGTTCTTCATTTTATAGTTCATCTTAGGCAAACGGGTTTGTTGCTAGTTACCATCAGGGGCAGGTTGGCTGCCTTGGCATTTTACTCCAGGGTTAGAGGATTTTATGATCCTACCACTGACTTTAGGGTTAGGAGAACATTAGAGGGTTGAACCAGAGAATCACCTGTGGTCAAGGACACTCGTTTGCCAATAACCGGCCCATTTCTGATTAAATTGTGGCAACACTTAGCCAATACTTGTTTTTCACTCAAGAAATTGGCTTTGTTTAAGGCCATATTTGCCATTGCTTTCTTTGCAGCATTCAGAATTAGCAAGATTGTTCCTGGCTCTCACAATGACCAATCTGGTAGGGCACTTCTTCTTTCTGATGTTATAATGTCAGAGCATGGGATTCAGATTTCCATTAGGTGATCGAAGACTGACCAGTTAGTTAGAGGGCAGTCTATTACTTTAGCTAAAGCACCTAAGGGACAGATTTGCCCTGTGCTAGCACTGGCAGACTATTTGAAGGTTGGGCCAAAGGTGTCAGGATATTTGCTCGTACATGTGTCAGGCATGCCTCTAACTCAGTTTCAATTTAGGGAGGTTTTGAAAGAAACTTTGTGGTGAGCCAACTTGACTCCAACTTATTTTTCCTCACATTCTTTTCACATTGGTGCAGCAACAGCTGCAGCTATGCACAGTTTAAGTGATGCAAATATTCGCTGAATTGGCTGGTGGCGTTCTAAAGCATTTAAATCTTACGTACGTACTTTTGGGGACTCCAATTGTGCTTAGTACACTAATTAACACTATTTATATTTCAGCAGGTTTCTTTCATGGCAAGATATAGATTGTGGGCCACAGTTTAGTGTTTTAGGCAGAACGCCACTTACTGGAGTGGGAATGTGCTCCCACCCTGGGACTGGCAAACATTGGCAGCCTGCAGTGGTTTGATCGCAGGGGCATGCAATGGAGAGCATTACTTCCTATGATTACTGAACTGTTAAGGATTTATCCGCACCCCTGAGTTTTAGTAATACACTTGGGGGAGAATGACCTAGTCAATATTCCATGTTTCCAGCTTGAGAAACAAATGGTCAAGGACTTGCAGGAGATAAGGAAGCATATTTCTGATGCCGTCGTGCTATGGACCAAATTGCTACCATGGCGTAGCTGGCCTGGAGCACATAAAGACACTGCCATTAATGACGCATAACGCTGGTTCAATCGTCCTGCCTCTAAACAAGATTGGGCATTTTTTATAATTGATCATGCTGGCATTCAAATATCAATGCCTCAGCTCGACAGGGGGGATGGGGTGCACCTCTCCTCAGAGGGTTCAGAGGTTTATGTAAAGGCAATTTCTGAGCATATAAGGACAGTGGTTTGTGGGGGGGAGGGGATGCCTAGCTAGGCTGGCCCCCTCTTGTGGCGGGTAACAACCCCCTCCCCACAGGGAAATACTTGGCTAATTAAATTTAAGTTGGGTGAATTAGACTAAATTAAAATTAAGGGAAGTGATGTAAGCAGCTAACTGCATGACACCATTAAGGTCATGATGTCATATGATGAAATATGACGTCATTTCCAGTTGGGGGAAAATATTTATTTGTTGTTAATTATTTGCATGCTTTGTCACATAATGTGAGGGACCACCCACTCGGGTTGGTTACACCTTCATATACACATGTGACAAAGTAGTGTATGTTTAATTAAAATGTTTGTAAATAGATCCTGTACAGCTGAATAAAAATTGTGGCCTGTTTATACCCAAATAAAGGTGTCTCTTGTCCTTTGTGCTGGTGCAACTGGCAATTTTTGCCTGCTTTCCCTTGCCACCAGTGTGCAACCCTGGAAAAAATGCAACAGGATTCTAGCCAAAACAGCAACAAGACTCCAGATTAGATCTGTGCTGTCAGGTTCAAATTCCTTTTGGCTATGATTAGCTATCCCTGGAAACTGTAAATACCTTTCAATCCCAGTTTTTATAGAATGCTGATACTTCTGCATAAACAAAATTAAAATTAGCACACTATTATCCACTCTGATTATAAAAAGGTTTTCTGATAAGCTTGTATCTAATGTTCATCTCCAAACCAATACATTCAATACATTCAATATCAATATCAATATCACACCTGAAGAAGACATTCATCATCTGTTTGTCAAAAAAATATATCCACTGGGATTAAAGACGTCTATAGGAGCTTAACAGTGATATCTACCTACAAGTCAACTAGACATTCATAATGGAAGTAAGTAAAAGATGGAAACAGCTGCTGCAAAGTTTTACTGGACATCCAAAGATTGAAAAAGGAAATCATGACTCTACTTAGACAGGTTTTATTCAGCTATAATCAGGTTTGGCTGCTTTGCTCCCCAGGGAATACAGTAATTATGGCTCATTAGACTGAAGATAATTACTACATTCCAAGGGGATCGGCACCTGCTCTCTTCTTCCATGCTAAGTTGAATAAGAGAAGAATTTACCCCTGGAAACAGTTTGGGGTGGATCCATAAGCTGCCCTGCTTGTGTTCTTTGTACATAGTTATATATGTGTGGTTAGGGAAGTACACTGGTGGAAAAGGCAGCATTCTAAACAGATTGTCAGAGGCTAAAGTAAGGATGAATCAGGGGAGATAAATTTCTTCTTTTACAGGAAGAGAAAACCTGTGATTCTTAAGATGAAACAATGTCCCCCTCATCATTCAACATTGGCTAAAATGGCTAGGGCTGATGGAGCCGAATAACACCTGGAGAGCCACTGCCTTCCCCAAAACTGTTACTTTTGGACACTTGGCAGAACTTGTGATCAAAGCTTAACTCAGATCACTGTACAAGCAGTATGATTTGCCAGATACTTGATTATGTGCCAACACATGTACCCATTCATGTATATGTACATGTAGCTGATCCTCAAGCCTTGATGTTTTATTTCACAAACAATGTGTTTGGTATGGCAGGTTTCCACATTATTGGCCTATAGTTATATACTCATGAGTCTGCAGGAGAGAGGACTGAGTTATTCATACTAGGCATGAATTAATGTTAATTTCACTTGCTCCCACTTTTTCTTTCTAAAAAAATGTAAATTTGTTTATCCAATTTCTTGAGACATCACTTAATTTTGGAAAGTTTAAAACACTAGCATTTTCACACATCTGTTCTGCCCACGTTAACTACAGTTTTGAACCTGTTTGTCACATTGTTGTTAAAAATAAGGAAAGTTGCAGTGTGACTGTTTGTGCCTTTCCATTTACTTACCAGTGACAAGGCTGAATACTCAGGAATTCAAAGCTTGATTTTTCAAACCTGCAGCCTAAATTCAATTTCTAGTCTCAACTTAACTAGATCCACTGAGACATTCATAAATGTTCATTGAACATTTGGCAATTTATTTAGTGGTCTTGTTCTACTTGAGATCATTTATAGTTGGCTACATTTTATCCTCCCTTTCCCTTACACAGATCAGGGCTGCACATATTGGGATAAATGTTGATGTGTGCCTTCAAGTTGTTTCCAACTTATAGTAACCCTAAGGCAAACCTATCACAGGATTTTCTTAGCAGAATTTGTTCGGAGAGATTTTTTTTTCTTTTGTCTTCTTCTGAGGCTGAGAGAGTATGACTTGCCCAAGATCACCCAGGGATTTGTACCCTGGTCTCCAGAATCATAGTCTGACACTCAAATCACTACACCACACTGACCAGCCAGGCATATGAAAATCTCACACTCTAAATTCCATTGTGTTTCATTTAATCTCATGAGCATTTTCCCACATCCATATTTCATTTCAGGTTGCAAGAGTGTCTGATGCTTCCCCCCCCCCACATGGAATTTTGTGTATTTTTAAATAAATAACACTTTTCTTAATTCATGTATTTTAATATTGTGTAATAATGTACACAGTTTTGTACACTAAATTGATTAAAACATTTGTGCCACATCCTCCTATATCTTAAGTTGTGTGCAGCAGTTAAATGCCTGTACTGCAGCCACTCACTCATAGACCACAAGGTTGCGATGTCAATACCAGCCAGGGCTGAGGCTCGACTCAGGCTTGCATCCTTCCGAGGTGGCTAAAATGAGTACCCAGCTGTTGGGGGGCAATCAGCTCACAGTTGTAAACCGCTTAGACACCCCATAGCATGGTATGAAGCGGTATATAAATGAAGCTGCTTTGTTTTGCATATTTATTTGCATTTAATTTGAAAATAAAAGCAAAATAGAATCTACTGCTTTCATTTTAATTCCAAGGAAGTGATAGATTCATTTTTCTAGTTTTTTTTTTCTGGAGTGGAGTAGTGTGGTGTGGGGAACATATGTAAAAATAAAATCAGATCAGAGGTAGGCCTAGTCAAGAAACATTTAAAAATTCAGAAGGATAGGTACTGAATTTTGTGTGGAAAAGGAGTAATCTAATATGGGGTGTTCTGCTTCCCTTACCCCCCTCCCAAGTTTTTGGAAATTCATGTGAGCTTTTAATGAGCTTGTACCACAGACATGTCTCTTAGAAAGAACTTTCATACAATCAGCATAATCGGTGTGTAGGGATGTACAAAGTTATAATAAATGGAATACAGTTTTTTATTATTATTTGTTCCTCATTTGGCAAGTATGTCATAGGAAGGGTATTTAGACAGGCAACTGGTGAATGCAGAACATTAAGAAAGAAACAGAAATACCTGGACATCTTCAGTTCTCATGCAAGCACCAGGTTCCATGGGTGTCAATGAAAGAGTTTTAACATTCCCTCTCTAGAGAGAGAGAACTAGCAAAGATCACTGAACACTGGAGTAGTTCTTCTATATATTCATTATCTCCCTTCAAAATTAGATTTGGAGAGCTTTCACAAAAATATTAATAGTAATAGGAAAAGTGTGATCCTTCAGAGTAGTTCTATTTTCATTAGGGCATCTTCAAATCTGTTCTAACCAACCTGATCAAACAATAGATATGGATTTCATCATGGTCCAGATCACACCCCTAGTATGTGTGCTATCTTCTTCCCCTTTTATACTCATAATAAATTTGTGATTTAAGTTAGGCTGAGAATGTGTAGTTGTCTTGAATTTGCCTAGTAGGCTTTCTGAATGAGCAAAGAACAAACAAAACAAAGGAAAAAGATTTGAGAGATGCTTACAGTCCTGTTCTCTCCCTATCACCAAACTAGAAACTTTAATCCTACCTGCCACCTGCATATCACCCTTGGGCATGAGGCATCAGACACCATATGCACTTAAACAGAAAGCATGCTATGGGAATTGATTAGTTTCCTCCCTTGTAGAAGTCCTTCTTTTTGTTATGAAGTGGTATATTATGTGGTAATTTGTGTGTGTAAATGATCAAAAAACAAAATGTAATTTCTACCAAGGATACCATTTGACCAGTTCCTTCATGTGAGACACATTATCAGATTCTTTCACATATTTAAGGAAGCAATTAGAGACTTAAGCAAGGACTTAACATTACTTTTTGCAGTATGCTCCATTGCATTCAGTAGAATTAATTCATAGCAGACATTTGCTAGATTGAGATCTATATACAAAAAGAAAAGAAAATTTGATTTGTTTGCCTTAATCAAACAAAACAAAGAAGTTAAACAAACAAAACACTGAGGAGGAAAAATTGATAGAAAAACTGTGATCTCACTCTAGGCATAGATAGAAAGTTATTTATGAGGCCCTGTCGAGGCCCTGGTTGACACTTGGAATGGTGATCTTACCAGAGCCATCGACACGATCGCTCCCAAGCGCCCTTGCC